TTTTTTTTGTTGTATTATTGAGCACTTCATTTACAAATTCTGCTGGCATTAAATATTATCCTCTGGTTGATCTTTATCCTGAAGAATGTCAAGAAGGGGGTTGAAAGTTGGTGAAAAAGTAGTCCAAATGTAAGTACTGATTTTCATTTTTTTTTTTTTTTTTTTTTTTTTTTTAAATACAACACTTTGTTATAATTAGTTACTGTTGTCACCTAGAAGAGGTTACTGAATGAGGAATAACCAAAACATAGGTTGGAAATGAAATGGTAATCTTTATAACATCAACAAGATAAAATACTCGGCCGCAGTGTGACGTAGGTAAACCACTTTTAGTAGTGGACTACTTAGATAGCATATTACCCCCACTTAAAATGGTGTCCAATGTATTTATGAGGATTGGGACATACCTATTCGTGTTCATACGCACGGTATATAACAGTAGTAAAAATCATTGGGAATGCATTTTTATAGTTGTTGTAACCAAGAAAAGGTTACTGAATGAGGAATAACCAAAAATGGAGATTGGAAATGAAATGGTAATCTTTATAATGTCAATAACATACAATACTCACCAGCAGCATAAAGTAGGTGAACCACTGCTAGTGGTGAACTACTTAGACACCATATTACTACCCTTTACAATAGTGTCCAATGTATTTATAAGGGTTGGGTCATACCCATTAATATTCATAGGTACAGTGTATAACAGTTATCAATGTCTTTGTGCGCCCCCCCCCATATATATATATATATATATATATATATATATCTAGCATTTGAAGAACATTTCATAATTCTCCTAAAAAAAAAAAAAAAAAAAGTTCACACACAAGGAAATATAACTTAGTTTTGGCACAAGGTCATAAGAAAGAAGACACAGTAGAAATCTATGATGACTTGCAAGAATGATTCTTCAACTCACTTCACGCCACAAGGTGCCAAGAACAAGCAAAGTCCGTGAGGAATATATATATATATATATATATAACATTCTAGAATTTTTTTTTTTGTTTTTTTTTTTTTATCGAGACGAGATTATTGGCAAGAAATGCAAATGTCTTCGAGAAAGAAAGAGGAAACGCTGTCTGTCGTGTGGGAAGAAATCTTTGTGTAATTTGGCACGTGCTCTTGTCTGTTGAAATGTCAGGGAGAAATTTGACATTGTCGTTAGGATCTGGTCTCAATTTTCATCTTCACAAATGCCAGTAAGAAGTAGCGTTGATTCTTTTCTTACAAATTTGGTAAGGCTGAAGCTGCGGCATATCTTGCTTAGTTAACTGCAGATAGTGTTTATTGGTGCTATAATAATTGACAACGGTATATTAATGAATTACTGCTGTTGCAGTGATGGTGAAAGAAAAATTACACTTGTCATATGGGTGTAATTTTTAAAAAAAAATTTTTTTTTTTTTTTTCATATCACTTTCTATCATTCCTTTCGTTAGGCTTTTTTCTCTCTCTCTGCAAGCAACTTTGGCTTGTTGCATTGTTTCAGTCAAAGATAAGCTACATGTTCTTGGCTTCAGAAATTCTCATCAGCTTTATAATTCCATCAGTTTTTACGTCAGATACTTTAAATGACCTTTCACCTTTTTATACAACGTATCCCCAGGCCTTCTGGAGAAGAAAAAAAAAACAAAAAAACTAATGATGTCAATCATATTATTTTTTTGGCGTCATGGGGGAAGATTTTACACACACATACAATCTCATTTTTATGGTTAGGGAATCCTTCCCCTCCATTCCAAGTACTGGTACTACACTTGACGGTGTCATCTCAGAAGGTATTTGGTCACGTGACTGCTGTCATAAGCCGTACTGAACACAAGGTGCGGAGTAAACATCTATTTTAATAATTTATTTCTCCAGTGATGTTGTTCGTTAGTTTAAAAAAAAAAGTTTCTGTAAGTGAAGTCTATGCAATATACACACACATTTTTTCTTCTTATGAAAAGAGAACGATTTTTCAGTTATACGTTGTAATCACAACCTGAGGTCAGATAAGCAAATAAAATTAAAATAGTTTGTGATGTAACTTCACCTGTACTCATCCAGCTTCAGCTCGAAAAATGATTTTGAGAAACGTACCTTTTTTTTTTCCGTGAAAAAAAAAAAAAAGATTTTTTTAACAATATCTTTGTAGAAATGAGAACAGAACTAAATAAATATAGTAAGCTCTAAAAAAAGAAAAAATTAAATAAAATAAACTCCCGTGACAACATAATTTCACTTTTCTTCAGTGCAGCTTACGATAAGGTGATCACGTGACTGTGTACCCGAATATGAATGATGAGGAAATGCGACTGTTGTTAACCGATTTCTCTTAGTTTTTTTTTTTAAATTTTTTCTCGTATTTTTTTTTTTCTTTTTAAAAAAAACTGAAACAAAACTTTAGAGTCGTCTATGAATTTGATTTTATTCATATAAAAAAAAAAAAAAAATTGTCAAGTGTTTTTTACTTGAATTTGAATGGATCAGAAAAAGAAAAAAAAATTTAATTTCTTTTTTTTGTCTGTTTTCTTTTTTTTTTTCTTTTACCGTCAATAGTTTAACCAAAATGTAAAAAAAAAAAAAAATTACCGTGATTATAACAACCAATATATTTGGAAGTGGGGCGGATATATATTCAAATTTTCAATGTGTCCGAGATAGATAAATTTTAAATTGTGTCCGAGTTGTTACGAGTTTAAAATATGAAGCCAGATAAAAAAAAAATTTCCTTTTTCTAACTCATTTTTAATTTTTTCAATTTTCGCACGAAAAAGCAAAAAACCAAAAAAAAAAAACGTTTCTAATCTGTTGAGAATAAAATTAATTTATTTAAAAAATTATCTGAAATAAATAACCTGACTTGTTTGTGTAGTTCATTTTATTTTTGTGTAAAAATTTATTTTCTTTTAAAAATGACATTAAAAAAAAAATACAATTGATAAGATTTTTTTTATTTGAAAATTGAATTGTAGAACTGATTCCCATATTTTCACTATTAGAAAAAGTGATTTTATAATTTTTAATCACTTTATTTTCATTTATTATTTTAAGTCATTTCACCACAAGTAAAGCAATAAAGCCACTAAGACACCAGGGGGTTACTGAGTGTGAAAGAATAATAATAAAAAAAAAAAAAAAAAAAAAAAAAAAAAACATTAATTACAAGGAACGAGAACAAAGAGGTATCAAGTTGTTTTGTTTATTTACGTTTAAAATGCGAATATGAGAAAATGTCCTTTTTGTTTTTGTTTCTGGGGAAACATTTCCATGAGGTAAAAAGACAATAGTTGGCATGGGGTGAGGGTGGATATGTCGATTTCTGTGAGCGTGAATCTAGAAAAATTAAAATATTTTTTGTACATCTAAAAACTTTTTTTTTTTTATTCACAAAATTTGATTTGATCACGCCGAAGAAATTTTTTTTTCGTTTTGTAAATTAAAATTGGCAGCGAGACGTCTGATAAGAATTCATATCTCGTTCATTCCTCTTTTTATTTCAATTTCAATTTTTTTTTCTTCTTCTATCTCTCTCCCCCCCCCTTTCCCCCACCTCTCACTGAAGCTCGCTCGAGCGGCGCATTTGCCAATCTTTCTCGCACCTGTCCACGTGTCGTTTTTACACAAGACAAAAGCTGAACGGGGCAGATTAAAAAAAAAAAAAATTCCTACCCTTCTCCTTTCTACAGGAGACTTGTAGTTTATTTTTGGTTCTAATCGACCCAAATTACTGGTTGGGGAAAGACTGTAGTGTAGATGTATTTTGCCATCATTATAAGTAATTATTAAATCCTCCCTCTCTTTGATAGTATGTGTAGCGGGGGAAGGAAACGTTTTACTACTTAAAAGATATGTCAGTAACATTCCCAACACCCCACCCCACCCTTGGCTACCCGGATTACCGAAGTAAATCTAACCCAGTTTTCTATCGATCAGGTTTATTGTTTAATCATCCACTTGGTGAGTCGAATTTAGCATTACGATGAATAAGTAAAAGTAGACAAAATATTAAGTAATTTTTTTTTTTTTTTTTTTTTTTTTTTTGCGCCTGCGTCACTACAAGGTCGACATTTAAAATGGATTTGTGGGTTTAATCGGCAATACCGTGGGAAAAAAAAAATTGCCCCCCCCCCGCCCCATTCAGCACTTCCAGTTTTGGGGACACCTCAGGTGACGGCTGCCTTGAACTTAGTTACGATTATTGTGAAACTACACAACCTTTTGCATACTTCTGTTAACTTGTATGCGCAACGGGGAGGGGTGGGGGATAATGCCCCCCCCTTTGGGACCATCTCCACAAATTGAATATCCTTATTTGGGATGGGGGTGAGGTCATTGATGCATGCCCAAAAGGGGTATTGCCGAAGGGACTCGAGCAATTTTTGAACAGCTGCCAGATTCCATTTCAAACTCGTATCACTTTGTGCGAGTCGACGCATCGATAAAGTGATTTTTCCAAGCGTAGCTTAGATGTGGCACAAGACCGAAAGTATGGAGCACCCAGTGGGGATCGAACTCGTTATTCAGTCATAATTGTTCTAGCGAGACAAGCTTACTAACCATTACATCGCCTCGAGGTGCCCAAACCCATCGATAAATACCTCTGTTTAAGTCCAAGTATCTTCTGCTCTCTATAAATCATCTGAGAGACCTCTCTCTGCCTTTATGGTATACTGTACTGTACTGATGCGGCATTCACCCTGGGCGGATTTAGCCGGCTTCTTCCTGTTATGAGAAGATTCTTGGGATAAATTACAGAAGTAGGGTACCCAGGCCTACTCGGATAACGTTCTTGCTTGCCGCGGGATTCCCACAGACAGGAACGACCAGAAGCCGCCGGTTACCGATACAGACGCTCCTTGGATTTTCACCAGAGCCCTTGTTAGCCGGCGTGTGTGTCAGACCTGTCCGCCTTGGGTGGCCCTACCAGGAACGAAGTTCCGGGCGGCATAGCTCTGACACTACCGTTTACACCCCCCCACCGACTGTGAGGTAAGGGTTGGACTTTGGGGGCTTACAGTACCAGGTGTTCCCAAGCGGTCCCCCATCTAAGTACTGACCTGGCTCTACGATGCTTAACTTCGGTGATCGAACGAGAACCGGTGTTTTTTTAAATGATTTGACCGTAAGCTATGTTATGGCTGATGCTAACCCTCAGAAGAGTGACTAGTTGCGCCCTTTCGGTTGATATAGTGTGGGAAGACTAGATGGAATTTGAATGGTTCAGATTTTTTTTTTTTTACTGTCAATAGTTCAATCAAAATGTTAAATTTTTACCGTTATTGTAATAACCAATATTTTTTTTGAGGGGGGGGGATATATTCAAATTTTCAATTTGTCCGAGATAGATAATTCAAATTGTGTCAGAGTTGTTACGAGAGACCTCTTTCTACCTTTCATCACTATGGCTGATGCTAACCCTCAGGAGTGTGACTAGTTGCGCTCTCTCGGTTGATATCGAGTGGAAAGACTATATGGAATCCATTGCTAAGAAAGTTGGTTCATTGTATCGTGTTAGAGATTTTTTTCTCTGTAGAACCCATCTATAAATCTACTATTTGTCCATGCTTTGAATATTATTGCCACATACGGCACGGGTCTAGAGATCTCGGCTTTATTTTCCTATTGCTGTACAATTGCTTTGTGCTTTTTCTATAAATATTTTATGTTAACTGTTCGGACGAGCTCTTCGTTATGGTATCTAGACTTGATTAATTTAAGCGCAGTACTCTGAGAGAACTAGAAGTCCTGCCAGGATTCATTATTGGTGGCCACAATCTTAATATAAGATATGCTGGTGACACAGTGTTAATAGCAGGCACAGAAAGGAAATTACAAAATCCTCTACGTAAGATAGCGAAGGAAAGCGAGAAGGACTAAACATAAACTACAAGAAGCCAGAATGCATGGTCATCATTAAAAAGATGAGCCCAAAATACAAATTACAGAACGGGGATACTAAAATCAAGCAGGTATAAAGAAATTTAAATATCTTGGAAGTAGTCTAACAAAAGGACGGACAATGAAGACGTATTGAGATAACCAAAGACGCATTCCAAAAGCTAAGCAGAGTATTAAGAGAGAAAAATTTCGTAAGAAACAAAGAAAAAAAGTACTAAACTGTTACGTGGTATCTGCCCTCCTGTATGGATGCTGGGCAGTCTCCTCACAGATGAAGAAGAGACTTGAAGCAATAGAAATATGGTTCTGCAGAGGCTATCATGCGCTGAACGTGTAAGCAACGACAAGGTTTTGGAGAGAATGGAAACAAAGAGGAAACATTTAATACCAGGAAGAGGCAGTTGAAATATTTGGAATACGTACTGAGAAAAGAGGGTTTGGAAAATCTGATTCTCACAGTAAGAAAATGAAAGGATAGACGTGTTTAACGTCCGTTTCAGTGAAACGGAACATTTACATTATTCGCTATATCTATCACAACGTTTCGGCCTTCTTCAGGTGATTGGAATGTCGAACCGAACGACTGTTCTAGTTCCACGTTTGATGGATGTCAGTTATCTCCTGTTAATTTCCTTCTGAAAAGTTCTCCACCTAGTTCGGGTATTGAACTCACACTCTTTGGGTCCTGTCTGGATCTAACCAACGCCTTTATCCACTGTGCCAGGTGTCCTTGAGGACATCTGGATATGAATTTCTGGGTATTATAAACCTAATGTCTTCAGCAACCATTTTTATCAGTGCTCATATTGCAATTTTGCTGTTATCATTACATGTTTTTACCAGAGCTCATATTGCAACTATGTTGTTATCATTGCTTTTCTATGGCATTCCTTATTACTGGTTCCCATATTGTATTTATTTCTATGCTTGGTCGGCTCAGGGGATTTTTGTGGCCTAGCATATGTGCTGATTCCTTAAGTTTACGAATTTTCCAATGGTGTTCCTTGTCAATGATCTCAAAATGATCCCACAGGGGGTGGTGATCTCCCTTCTCTCTCCATATGTGGTCAGCCACGCCTGATTTTTCTACTTCCCCTCGTGTTACAGCTTTCTGGTGTTCTTGAAGCCTTACCTTGAGGGGGGCGGCCTGTCTCTCCTTTATATTTCTTTCCGCAGCTGCACAATCATAGCGTTACACACAGTCTTTAGTCATGTTCTCCTCTATGGGGGGTCTCACTCGAGAGAGATATCTGCGAAGTGTTGTCACACTTTTGAAGGTTGTCCTGATGTTATATGGACCGCAGATCCTTTGTATTTTCTGATAACCCCTTCACATAAGGCAGGCAGACTGTTTTCTGAGTGTTGTTGTCGTCCTCCTCTTGTACCTGCATATCCCAGTTTTTTTTATTTATTTGCCATGTACCCAGGGTAGTTATTACGTTGTTGTAAAACTACTTATAAATAATATATATATTTATATATCTCAGAAATATAGACACTCTGAAATGGAACAATTGTCAATTTAAAACATATACATTTGTACCCACTTCGTAAAATAACGACCAGCATTTATACTTATGATTGCTATTGCAATATTTTGTTAAAGTTGTCAAGCTCAAATATTTAACGATGTAATAGGTGGGATTTCTACGGATATTTTATTGTCGTAGAAATCGCCATGAGCTTAATCGTTAAGAATTAAAGATTGATCAAATTTTTAATAGGAAAACCGCGAAATTTTCACGGGTCTTTCTAGTATAAGAAATAATCTAAAATGATCTATTTTTTTCGTTTGTTCTTATTAATGTTTTTTTCTGCACATCACCGATCATTAGTGTATTTAACGGCGATATTCAGAATAAAGATGCGTGTTATACATAAAAACATACAGTACCGGTTGAGTATCCTTTATCATAAATTCAAAAATCCGGAAAACCTCCAAAAATCCGAAAGTTTTTCTGGTTTGATAAAATATTTTTCAATAAAAATGGAACATTTCAGAAAATTTTAAATTGGTGACCCATAGTGAATTCACGTAATAATGACATAAAATGGCACCGACAATAAATAGACAACTGTCAACTGGTTAGAAATTTAATTTTAAATAGCTTAAAATTCAACAGCTACTTTTCCCTCCTTTTTTCACTAGCGACATTTTTACAAGTGCAATCGAGGCAATTCTGAGAGAATTTGTAAACCTACCGGAATTTAGCATTGGCAGCCACAATCTTAACGACATAAGATACAAGATGACACGGAAACTGATAGCAGATACAAAAATAAATTTTAAAAAATTCCTACAAAAATTAGCGACGGAGAAAAAAGAAAACAGGAAGCATAAACTTTTGACAGAATTCACGGTCATCTTTGTTTTTCCCGTTTTCATTTTGCGAAATGCAGGTCGGGATCACTAGAATCAAGCAGACACGGAAGTTTAAATATCTGGAAAGCATTTTGACAGAGGACTGTAATAAAAAATCATTTAACTGAGATCCGTATTGAAATAATTGGGATGGCCAAGGATGCATTCCAAAAGCTTATGGGTTTAAAGATCAAGTATTTCGTTGGTAATAAAGAAAAATATACCGAGCTGTTTCTATGACATCTGTTTTTTTTTCCGGTAGCGAATGTTGGACGAAAAAAAAAAAATGAAAAAAAGACTCTAGACGACGGAGATGTTTTCTACAATATATGTTAATATATTATGTTTATGGTCCGAGCGTTGAGCAACGATGAGGTCTTAAGAGGATGAAAAAAGGAGGAGGCTTATTTTTAACATCAGGAATAGGCAGCGAATGTTGGACGATTTCCTCAAAGATGAAGAAAAGACTCAAGGCGACGGAGAAGTGGTTCTATAGAAGGATGCTAAGGATATCATGAACCGAGCGTTTGAGCAACGATGAGGTCTTAGAGAGGATGCAAACAAGGAGGAGGCTTTTTTAACATCAGGAAGAGGCAGCTAAAGTTTCTATAATTACAAAATCTGGCAGGAAGGAGGGCCTGAAGAATCTGATACTCACGGATCGAATAGAGGGAAAATTAACAAGGGAAAAAATGCATTACATACTTAGCGGGCTTAAGCAAGTGGATGACGGAACGTGGTCTGGGGAATGTTGCAAGGGGAAGGAACTTGTTGAGGGTTGCAATGGATAGGAGGTGGAGAGTCATGATCACCCACGTCCTGAAAGGACATGGTACATTTCTAAGAAAAAATCATTCATATATAAATATATTGCGTTGCAAAGGGTCCTACAACTAAATGACTTTTTTTTCAGTTTTTATTACATTTAACGAATGTAATCGGAATCAAAGAGGCACGGCGGAGTAATGTATAGCGGCTCGGATTGAGAAATCAGAGAGCCGAGTTCGAATCCATTACATTCACTTACGTGCTAATACCCTTGGGAAAGGTATGAATCCTCCTCTTCTCCTTCCAGCTTTGGGCAAATATCAAAACGCTTCCCAGGTATTTAAACTTCCGCGTCTGCTTGATTCTAGTGCTCCCGACCTGCAAATCGCATTTCGATCTCATCTTTTTACTGATGACCATGCATTCTGTCTTGTAAATAGCAGGGCAGGTAGAGTTCTATAGCCTTGGATGGCAACTGATCTACTGCAGAAAGAATGGCGGGGGAAAAAAAAAATCTGCCTCGTCAGTCATGTATCGAAAAATACGTGATCGCCTAAGCGTGTATTACGCATGGCGTATAACTGACTGATTGAATCAGAATCCGTATATATATATATATATATATATATAATAAAAAGGCTTAAACATTAATATTCCATGGTCATAATTTATTCCATTGGAATCGTAAATACGATCCAAGTCATCAGATATATATAAACTTTTATTCTGAAGAAGCATGACGTCACTTTTACAAGTATTAACTGAGAATGCAAATTCCATCTTGCTAAAGTAACTAGAAAAAATTTTTTTTTTTTTTTTTTTTTTTGCTATCCTCTGCCAGCTACAATGATGGATAAAACATTACCGCGAACCATCGCCAGTTAGACACTATCCAAAAGCCACTCTGTTTCACGAGGCTCGTCCCTTAATCGAGTCGCAATCGCGCCAATCCTCCGAAGGAATGTCATCGAACGAGGGTCAATAACCCCAGATTTTTATACAAAATACTGTATGTATTGTAACATTCAGTGATGTCATCGATAGCGTAACCTTTCTCTTCATTTTCTCACACCTGATAGAAGTAGTGCTTGGTGTCG